GCCACCAAATTTTTTTTTACTTCCCAGTGGAAGAGCTGGCATCAGGGCAGAGTACTACTTGTCTGTGCCCAGCACTGGCAATACATCCAGAGCTTCAGGGAGCCAAGGCAGAAGACCCCTCACTCCAACAGCATGTCTTTGTAGTGAAGATCCTACATCCAGCTGAAGCGCTGGCATCAGGGCAGAGCACCACTGACCTCTGCCCAGCACCAACAGCACCTCCAGAGCTGCAGGGAGCTAGGGCGGGCAGCTCCTCTCCTCAGCAGCAGACCGAAGCACTGGCAGTGGGGCAGAGTAATGCCATTCTCTGCCCATACACAGTCTCAACATAAGTGTTGGCAACAGGACAGAGGGTCCATTACCTCTGCCCAACACCTGCAGTGACACAGGAACCTCAGGGAGAAATAATCAGCTTTTTTTCTCCCCAGCAGCAGTGTGAGGACCAGGGAGGGTATGCAGCTGGCATTCCTCCCCAGTGGTTGCATGGATGTTTGAGAGATAACAGACCCTGTTTCTCTCCAGAGGCAGATGTGAGAGGTCCCATGGACAGAATGTGTGGAGTTCTAATTCCCGACTAAAAGAAGGTCGTGACCAGTTGGGGGTCTGGGACCTGGTTAGTTTACCTTTGAGGGAGGGAGGGAGATGTCATGGAAACTACCATGACCTGGGCCCTTGGAGGGTCAGCCTCCTTCCCATCGACTATGGACACAGGATTATGAAGACCCCCCCTCGGACCTTTTGAGGTCACAAAGAACATTTCTGCTGCTTTCCCCTGGCATCATGTTTATGTCATTCTGTTCCATAGTAGAATCAAGCATGAAATAGTTAATTTTGGGCCCTATTCCTGTTTTGAATAATGGGATTAACCTGGCTGACTCCAGGTGATCATCTCTAACTTCACTTAAGATGCCCATACATTATACAATGTTCTTGTTCAATTTCCTTTAGATTTATCCTCAACTATGTAGTACAATGGCCTGCCTGATTGCCTAAAAATTGAGTGTTCAGGTTTGACCTCCTATTATATGGTGTTGGTAAATCTAAAGAAAAATTGTACAAGAAAATTGTATATTGTATGGCCAGTCTTCATCACCTCCAAAGTCCAGACTGGTAGGTGCCAGAAATGAATCCATTGTTCTTTTGAGTTTGTGTTTTGTTTATGTGATTTAATTTTCTCCTGATGTGTGTCATACCTGAAGGTCTTTTGTGTATAAATATTCTGTGTTTTTTTTAATAAAGTCAGTCCTGTTTTACTCCAACATTAGTTTTGTCTGATGCTTGGAGTAAATTTGCTTTCTAAAGCCTTAACCTAATTTGCTGGTCCTGTCTGGTAATTAGGTTTGGACTAAAATTGCTATATTTTGGTTCCAGAGTGGAAAAAGCTGTAGTTTGGCTGAGATACCCATTTGGGGTGTCAGGCAGTCTATCGCACAAATTATTATAAATAGTATCTGAAAGAAAGTTCTCTCTGGGAATCTTGCTTCATAAAACAAATTATTATATAAACATGATAAAACATATGTAAAAAATAAAAAACATTATAGTTTCCCTGTCAGTCATCTGATGCTTTTGCAAACTATTACATCTGCTTGTTACATGTAAATACCTGACATATCCATGTTTTTTTCAAGTTGCTTTTTGTTTAGATGAAAAAAAAATGATCAAATGCAAATGGTCTGTGATGCAATATAAAAGTAATGGTGATATTATTAATGTAAATACTTACTGTATATTATTTTTTTTTTTTTTTTGTCAGATTCAAGTTTAGAGACAAAAGAGAAATGCAAAACGGGAGAGAAATTAGAATACCCCAGTGGATATGTTATGAACAATATCTGGTACCCAAAGACTTGCAAGATGCAGACCTACCATGAAGTAGAACAACTAAATGCTTGCATGAAGGGAAGGTTCTTCTATATGTTTGGTGACTCAACCACACATCAGTGGATGCATTATTTTGAAACAAAGTTGAAAAGTAAGTATTGCTAGTATGAAACTTTGATTTTTTTAAATCTAGCTGTCATGCTATAAATCTAGCTCTCATGAATAAACGTTAAGTGTGTACCTAGACATATTCCCAGCTGAATTTGTAAATAGAAGAGAATGTTCCTTCTGGCTTTTTTTTTTTAATTTAATATATTTTTTATTGGAAAAAATGTGGCATTCACACATTCATACTGTTGAGAGAACAGAAAAAAAAACAGCACTAACAAAAACAAGAAACAATCTCCCCAGAAAAGGACATATTGATTAACATTAAAGTATAAAACAATGATCAAAAAAGATATGATAGTTGTATGAGTTGGTGTCATGCAAACGAATTTGCTTGGATGGGTAGGATTCAGAACATCAAGTTAAGAATCAAAGCGGGTCTCAGCACCAGCTTCAATATAGAGGGACAGTGGACAATGCATTCCCCATAGTAAGTCTATGGATGATGTCACCGCCCAGGCTCTGCAGCTGTTGTCCCTGCTATCTCTTCTTCCCTCAAAGTGGCTGCTGGGGAGATCATGTGACTGGACTGGAGCACCCTTAGATTAGGTAAGTATACACGCTTTTTCATCACAGGCTAGTTAACATAGGGCTTAGAACGTGGGCGAGAGTAGGTTTAAAATGACATTAAAGGCTCAAATTTTGTTTTTAAAAAAAATACAAACGTGTCATACCTGTTCTATGCAATGGTTTTGCAAAGAGCAGCCCAGATCCTCTTCTTCTCAGGTCCCCCACTGCTCAGTGCCTCATAGCAAGCCACTTGCTATGGAACCACTGTTATGTGTTTGCTCCCAAGCCAGCTCTGTGTGTCTATGGGACACACAGAGCCTGGCTCAGCCCTGCCCCTGCTCTTTCCTGACTGGCTGTGATTGGCAGCAGTGGGAGCCAATGGCTTATGCTGCTGTGTCTCAGCCAATATGGAGAGAGAGACCCTGGAGAGCTGAAGCTCCCTTGCACAGCACTGGATCGAGAGGGGGTTCAGGTAAGTGTTGGGGGGGGGGGGGGGGTTGTGTGGGGAACAACATACACAGAGGTTTTTTACCTTCTTGCATAGAATGCATGAAACAGGACTTTGGTCCCAAGGGGGGTAAATCCCAGGTGAGGGAGACTTAAATGGCAGCAGAGGGAAATTGACAGGTGTGTCAATGAAGTGGAGAGAGACTCACAGGCTTTGAGGCAAGTGGAGGCTCTTAGACAAACTGAGACACAGGCTGTTGATCCCCCAATGTGGCCTGCCTGGCACTCTTGCATGGAAGAGCCTAACCCCCTGTATGGGACTGAAGATTGTGGTGAGCTTATAATTTAGCTTCTGAGCCCAGCTTTTTGGACTGTTTATAGACTTTTGCTGAAGTAAGCTGTCTTTTGTTTTTCATGAACCAAATAAATGAACTGGGCTGTTGCTGAAAGCTTCAGTCTCCCTCTAGCAGTAATTAAAGCTTTAGGGTTTGTTGCTAAGCAAGCCATGTTCTACTGCATTAAATTATTTTTTGATTTGCTTTGCTAAGCAGCAGCCAAACCCTGTGAAAGGGTTATCTATTCTGGCAATGAGCTGTCTCAGAGCTTTTCAAAGCAAAACATCCCTCTTCAGGCTCTTCAAAAAAAAAAGAAGAGGCGGATGAGCATGACTGTATGAATTGTGCTTTGTTTCAAGCGACCAATGATGAGGATGATGACACCTAGCAGGTTGTAACATTAATTAAACAAGTGACCAATGCACTCAACATGAGTATTTCCACTCTCCCTGTGAAGGAGTTATATGTTCTAGCAATGAGCATTCTCATAGCCTTCCCAGGCAAAACAGCCTCTTTAAAATTCTCCAAAGGGGAAGATGCAGATGAACATGACTAGGTGAATTTCTTTGTTCAAGCAACCAGAAATGAGGGTGATGACACCTAGCAGGTTGTCACATTGATTAAACAGGTGACCAATACACTCAAAAGGAGTGGTTTCCACTCACCTTGTAAAAGGGTTATATGTTCCCAGGCAAAACAGCCTTCTTCAGACTCTATAAAGAGGAAGATGTAGATGTGTGTTCAATAAACATTGTCAATACACTTTAAAGGAGTGATTTCCACTCACCATTTGAAAGGGTTATCTGCTCTGGCAATGAGAGCCTGGCCTTCCCAGATGAAAGTGTCCTCTTCAAAATTTCCAAAGCGGACGATATGGATGAACATGAATACTGCTTTGTTCATACAATCAAGGATAAAGATAATGACACCTAACAGGTTGTCACATGAGGCTAATACACTCTAAAGGGGTGTTTCCACTTACCCTGTGAAAGGGTTGTCTATTCTATCAATGAGCAGTCTCTTGCCTTCCAGGCAAACAATCCTCTTCCGACTCTTCCATAAAGAAGATACAAATGAGCATGACTGCATGAACCCTTCTAGTTCAAGCATCCAGGGAGAAAGAAGTTGACACTTAGGTTATCACATTCATTGAACACGTGGTCAATACATTCTAAAAGAAGTTGCTTACACTCAACCTGGGAAGGGGTCATACATTTTGCCAGTAAGCAGTCTCAGAACCTTCTCAGGCAAATCAAACTTTGTCAGATTCTTCCATAGAAGATGTGGATGAACATGACTGTATGATTTCTGCTTTGTTTAAGAAGAGAGTGATTAAGATGAAGACCAAGTTGTCACAATTATTCATGTGGTCAAGACACTTAGGAATTGCTGAATTCACCTTCTGCAAGGGCCATCTATTCTGACAATGTCCAGTCTTTCTTTCAGGACCAGTAAAAAGAGCCTTCTTAAGCCAATCCATCCTCTTCAGTCTCTTCTGAACAGGAAGATGAGGACAACCTTTGTCCAAGTTTTTGATTCCTTCTTTTCTAGAGCTTCTAAAATGCCTTTAACCACCTCCCGCCCACCATATAGTATTATGACGGATACAAGGCAGTTCTCTCGTTCTGGGAGGACGTCATATGACGTCCTCCCATTCTAGCCGCGCATGCGCTGCTCCCGGAGCGCAGTGCTGCGATCAGCGGTGCGCTGTGTCCCTCGGCAGATCACCAATTCATGGAAAGAGCCAAAGATGTTGGCTTGGTCATGTGATCAGCTGTGTCCAATCACAGCTGATCACATGTAAACAGGGAAATGCCGGTTATCTGCATTTCTCTCCTCACGAGCTGTCACGCTGACAGCTCATGAGGAGAGGAGAGCCGGTTCCTTAACCCTTATTCCACATAATCGGCATTCCTCGGAGGGGACATGTACACAGATCATCAGAGCACTGATGATCAGTGTGCCCTGATGATCTGTGTAGCCCCAGCAGTGCCACCTGTCAGTGTCCATCAGTGCCAGATCTCAGTGCTCATCCATGGCACCTGCCAGTGCCAAATCAGTGCCACATCAATGTCACATATCAGTGCTCATCTGAGCTGCCTTTCAGTGTCACCTGTCAGTGCCACCTATCAATGCCAGTCAGTGCCGCCTATCAGTGCCATATATGAGTGCTGCCTTTTAGTGCCCATCAGTGATGCCTGTCAATGCCCATCAGTGCTACCTACCAGTGCCTCCTCATCAGTGTCCATCAGTGCAGCCTCATTAGCGCACATCAGTGAAGGAGAACTTTTTTTTTTTTCAAAATTTTCAGTGGTTTTTGGTTTGTTTAAGAAAAAATAAAAAACCCAGAGGTGATTAAATACCACGAAAATAAAGCTCTATCTGTCACAAAAAATGATAAAAATTTCATATGGGTATAGTGTTACATGACCGCGCAATTATCATTCAAAGTGCATCAGCGCTGAAAGCTGGAAATTGGCCTGGGTAGGAAGGGGGTATAATTCCCTGTAGGCTAGTGGTTAAATAGAAGCAAAGCTGTGGAAGCTTGACTGCGGATGGTGACTGAAGTGCTTGTTCTACAAGATTGGAGCATGTTGTCACAGCAGGATGTCAAAATTATGCCCTTTTGAACAGGAAGGTGTCCAGGGTTTAGTACATCCTTGAAGGCCACATCTTCTAATTTTAAGGTCATGTATCTGGCTAATCCCATAAAGGGACACACCGACCACAAGGGTCAAGTATTGCATTGTTCTTGATCTTAGAAGGTGAAGCCTAAATTAAACAGCGGTCAGTTTGGCTTCCTGCATCAAGATGAACATCTGAGTTAAATGAGACCAAACTTCAAGAATCAGTTTCCACACTCACTGCAGATAGAATATAGCCTCTGCATTTCTGGCTGGGAGTCCAAGGTATACTGGTAAGCCAGTACATAATCCAAGAGGTCAGCGAAGAGCTCCATGTTAGGATGCTTTCAGGTATTTTGAGAATTGTGCCACCCATACATTTCTTATGGGTACTTACTTCTTTTTTGTACAAAGCCTTGATGATGGTCCATCAAGGCAGCATTTGAGGTCAAGTTTGGGAGCTCTTTCATCCTTCACATCTTTGATTGGGCTGCATAAATTGCCTTGTTCCAGAAGATCAAGTAGGATCAGTTGAACTCTTGCCCCCTTTCAAGTCGGTTTCTGGTCCAGTGGCAGTCAGAAAGCCTAGGTCAGAATATATGGATTATGCCCTGTTTGAAAGCGAGCCTAAACTTGTGGTTGGAGAAACGGAATCTTCTGCAATGTCCTTCTCGTTTGACGACCTAGTGGCTGGTGATGCAATCATATACCAGTCATACACCAGCAAAGTATTTAGGGAGCCAAATTTAGGAGCAATGTGCTCAGGACCAATGGCATTTTTCAAGGGCCCTAGATGGTGTCCAACATCCTGGAGTTGAGAACACATTTCAGGTTTTCCTAGTCTTCAGTCACCTTATCCAGGGTGGACCTGTCCTGGTGAAGTTAGTCAGAAAAACAAATGATTATTATACAGTATTTATAAAGCGCCAACAGTTCGCACAGCGCTGTACATTACAAAGGGAGACAGAACATGCGACAGTACGAAAACAATACAATGTGATAGACGAGGGGTTCGAGGGCCCTGTTCTTTCGAGCTTACAATCTAGGAGGTAGGGGAGTGGCCTATATCCAGAAACAAGGGGGCACTCAGTCTCTCCCTCCTGAAGCAGGTTTCTCCGATTCTAGAGTTGGCCCAAGTCAATATTCTGTAGTTATATGTGGCCTATGTGCCCGGTCAGAAGAATCTTCAGGCAAACTACACTGCTCAAAAAAAATAAAGGAACACTTTGAAAACACATCAGATCTCAATGGAGAAAAATATCATGCTGGATATCTATACTGATATGGACTGGGTAATGTTTTAGGAATGTAAGGATGCCCCATTGTTTCATGGAAATGAAAATTATCAACCTAGAGAGGACTGAATTCAAAGACACCCCTGAAAATCAAAGTGAAAAAATTATGCAATAGGCTAGTCCATTTTGCTGAAATTGCATTGTAGCAACTCCAAAATGGAACTCCGTAGTTTGTGTGCCCCCATGTGCTTGTATGCATGCCTGACAAGGTCAGGGCATGCCCCTAATGAGATGACGGATGGTGTCCTGGGGTATTTCTTCCCAGATCTGGACCAGGACATCACTGAGCTCCTGGACAGTCTGAGGTACAACCTGGCAGCGTCGGATGGACCGAAACATAATATCCCAGAGGTGTTCTATTGGATTTAGGTCAGGCAAGCGTGGGGGGCCATTCAATGGTATCAATTCCTTCATCCTCAAGGAACTGCTTGCGTACTCTTGCCGGGCATTGTTATGAACCAGGTGGAACTCAGGACCCACTGCACCAGTGTAGACTCTGACAATGGGTTCATGGATTTCATCCTGATGCCAAATGGCAATCAGGGTGCCATTTGTCTAGCCTGTATAGGTCTGTGTGTACCTCCATGGATATGCCTCCCCAGACCATCATTGACCCACCACCAAAACGGTCATGCTGAATGATGTTACAGGCAGCATAACATTGTGGATGGCTTCTCCAGACCCTTTCACATCTGTTACACATCTGTTACATGTGCTCAGAGTGAACCTGCTCGCATCTGTGAAAAGCATAGGGCACCAGTGGCGGACCTGCCAATTCTGGTGTTCAAAGACCAATTGAGCTTTATGGTGCTGGCCAGTGAGCACAGGGCCCACTAGAGGATGTTGGGCCCTCAGGCCACCCTCATGAAGTCTGTTTCTGATTGTTTGGTCAGAGACATTCACACCAGTGGCCTGCTGGAGGTCATTTTGTAGGGCTCTGGCAGTGGTCATCATGTTCTTCCTTGCACAAAGGAGCAGATACCGGTCCTGCTGATAGGTTAAGGACCTTCTAGAACCCTGTCTGGCTCTCCTAGATTAACTGCCTGTCTCCTGGAATCTCCTCCATGCTCTTGTGCTGGGAGACACAGCAAACCTTCTGGCAATGGCATTATTGATATGCCATCCTGGAGGAGCTGGACTGATTGTGCAACCTCTTTAAGGTCCAGTTATCTCTTAATGCTACCAGAAGTGACACTGACCCTAGCCAAATGCAAACCTAGTGAAAAACAGTCAGAAAAGATGAGTAGGGAAAAAATTGTCAGTGTTCTCCACATGCAAAACAGTTCTTGTTTTGGGGGTCATCTCACTGTCTCCCATCTAGTACACCTGTTGTTAATTTCATTAACACCAAAGCAGATGAAACTGATTAACAACCCCCTGCTACTTAACTGACCATATCAATATCCCAGGAGTTTAATTGAATTGATGCTATACTCTGATTAAATGTGTTCCTTTTTTTGAGAAGTGTATTTGTCCAGGACAATCCTGGATGACAATGAATGGTCCAGACTAGTACAAGTCTTTCAAGAATTAAGAGTTTGGAAATTTCCTCCAGGTAGACTTATTCACATCCCCAGTCAACACCAATTTGCCAAAGTTCTATTCCAGGGTCCAGCATCCACAAGCAACTGGGGTGGAGATGCTGATCGCAGAATGGATCTTAAAGAGAGCTTATGCCTTTCTGCTACTCCCTCTGATTCTCTACTAACTGCTGAGGCTGTGGCAGGGGAAGGTGACAGTTCTGGTGGTGATCCCAAATTGGTTGAAGGGGCCTTGGTACCCTCTGCTCCTAATATGTTTCAAGGATCCACTCTCTCTGACCGAATCATCTCCAAAGTCCCATTTGTCCAGCATCCGATAGGCTCAAGCAGATGGCTTGGGTCTCGAGAGGCAGAGGCTAATAGATCTTGAGTGCTTTGTAAAGGTTGTGAATACTCTTATGAAAGCATTAGACAATAATGGTGTCTATAGTGGAATATAGCACAAATTCCCGGGACTGCTGCTATTTAAGGTTTTACACTGGGCTCTTCACAAGTCTGTCACGTTATGAAGTTTCTGCTGCCGGGGCTTGATTTAGGTTTAAGTGTAAGCAAACTATAGGCCCACATTTCATCTATCTTTGCCTTCACTGGCATACAGTGGTCATCCAACACCTAATTATACTGTTCTTCAAGCTGCAAGTTGGTTGAATCCTCCCTCAGGGATTGTTACCAAATTGGGATCTCTCATAGGTGTTGGACTTTTTTTGTATCTGATGCCTTCAGTCAAAGTGGCCCCCTGTGGTACCTCTCACTGAAAACTGCTTTCCTTGTGGAAATTACATCAGTCAGAAGAGTGCCGGTATTAGCTTCCTTGGGGTTTAAATAACCCTTTCTCATGTTCTTTCCAGACAGGGTGGTACTCATACCAATATTCACATTTGTGCCTAAAGTGGCCTTCAATCCATATCACACAAGAAGTTGTACTTCCTACGTCCCTCTTGAGTACTCCAAAAAGATGAGCTAATCTTTAAAATATTACATCAAAGAAGTATCCTGGCATCAGGAAGTCGAAGTGCGCTTTTTTTTTTTTTTTTTTTTCCATACCAGGTAAAGTGTAATGATTTCACAGCTTCCAACAAGATTGTCTCTTGATTAGTGAAGCTCATCTCCTACAAGTTGAAGGGGGATCATGTCACTCTCCACTAGAAGGGTCTCAACCTTGTGAACGGCAGCAGGCCAAGTTTGACAGAAACATCCTGGATTCTGCTTTTAGCCAGAACTAGCCACACCGGGGAGGGAAAATGCTAGTTTCCCAGCTGTGCAGTCAGGAAAACAGAAAATTGAATGACAGATACTTACCGCAATTTTCCTTTCCTGATGAGCTCCATGTCAGCACAATTCCCACCCAGTGTCATGGTGATAGGTCAGGTTTAGAGACCAGTAGCTATAGCAGCAGACCAACCAACAGGTTAGGTAAACAAGCAGTTCACCCTGGGAGATGACGCAGGCTCACCTGAGGTGCAGGGTCTAAGCACTAACCAGTATTTACCAGAGCTCCTGATGGTGGAGATGGATTTTGCTGCGTGTTAGTACCAGGTCGCAGTTCTCAGGATCACCCCACCAGGAAGTGAGCAAGCCAGAAGCCAGTGATGGGGGTAGATCTGCTGACATGGAGCTTGTCAGGAAAGGAAAATTACAGAAAGGATCCATCATTCAATTTTCCATTTTTGGTATCACATTTTCCTTTACAATGGATTTTATTATAGAATTGGAATCACATTTTCATCTGAAGATGT